CTGTGTCACAGAGCAGGGTGCTATTGTGAGGCCATCTCTGAGCAGTGGACTCAAAAGCATTTTCAGGCATGTCAGAGAAGGGAGGACTCACTAGACTTAGCAAACAAAACCACCCTGACATCCTCCTTCAGGAACACGGGGAGCAGAGGCCAAAGCACTAAGGGGAGGGCGCATACCTGAGACGATTGTATGAAGAAAATATGGAGGAACTGTTACATGTTCGGTACTAAGTCATTTTCAGGGGATTGAAAGACTATTGCTGGATTTCATGATGCTGACTGGTGTTAGCTGATTAACCCATGTAAATAGACACTTAAATAGAAGCAGGAAAGGGAGAGAAAGACTGGCTTCTGGACTTCCTCCCTGATCCCCACCCCTTACTTGTCACCTGCAGTGGCCAGAATTAGGGAATCCGAATCAAACCAGTGTAAGGCAGTGCTGGCTGCCATTGCCTGGTCACATTGAAATTTGGTGGTTTCATTCTGGATGTAGCTTATGCAGATGTAGCAGGAAAATAGGAAAATCTACCATCTCAGTGAGCACCAGCTGCCTCCCAAAGGAGGGGCAGCCACGCTTGTATTTTAATGGTTACAAAGGCACAAAATTATTGTCAACCTAACTAAAACATTCCTTTTCTCTTTTTTCCTGAATTATCACGGAGTTTTCTAATTCTCTCTTTTGGAGTGTAGATTTTTTTAAAATGCTTTACGATGTAAAATATTTATTTTTTACTTATTCTGGAAGATCTGGCTGAAGGATTATTCAAGGAACAGGAAGAAGCGTAAAGACTATCCATGTCATCTTTGTTGAGAGTCTTCGTGACTGTAAGATTGTAAATACAGATTATTTATTAACTCTGTTCTGCCTGGAATTTAGGCTTCATATGGAAAGTGTTTGACAGCAAGTAGTTGACATTTATCAGCAAATCTCTTGCAAGAACAGCACAAGGAAAATCAGCCTAATGAGCTGCTCTGCCCCTTGTGCCCAGAGTGGATGTTCTGGGATTCTTTTTTCTTGGTTTTATCTTTTCAAGTGGAATTAGTTGGTTATCCATTTGCAAATGTTTTAAACTGCAAAGAAAGCCATGAGGTCTTCAATCCTGTTTTACCCCATCCCTTGTGCCTATTTCCAGGGAGAAGGAAAGCATATACACTTTTTTCTTTGATTTTTCCAAAAGAGAAAAAAATGACAAAGCTGAAACTTACATACAAATATTACCTCATTTGTTGTGTGACTGAGTAAAGAATTCTTGGATCGAGCAGAAAGAGTTTAAGTGTCTAACAAACTTAAAGCTACTGTAGTACCTAAAAAGTCAATGTTGTACATAGTATAAAAACTCCGCAGAGAAGTATTCCCAATAAGGAAATAGCATTGAAATGTTCAATACAATTTCTGAAAGTTATGTGGTTTTTTTTTCTATCATCTTGTATACCATTGCTTTATTTTTATAAATTATTTTCTCATTGCCATTGGAATAGAGATCTCAGATTGTGTAGATATGCTATTTAAATAATTTATCAGGAAATACTGCCTGTAGCGTTACTATTTCTATTTTTATATAATGTTTGCACACTGAATTGCAAGAATTATTTGGTTTTTCCTTTTTTTTTTTTTGATTTTTTTTTTTTTTTTTTTTTTTTTTGCCTTTTGACCTCCCCCTATTTTTACTATTTGCCAATACCTTTTTCTAGGAATGTGCTTTTTTTGTACACATTTTTATCCATTTTACATTCTAAAGCAGTGTAAGTTGTATATTACTGTTTCTTATGTACAAGGAACAACAATAAATCATACGGAAATTTATATTTATACTTACTGTATCCATGTTTATTTGTTCTCTACTGGCTTTATGTCATGAGGTATATAGGTAAATACCATTCATAAATCAATATAGCATATACAAAAAATTTACAGTAAATCATAGCAACATTCACAGTTCGTATGTGCTTTAGAAAGACTGAGTTGCTGAGGCCTAGGCTTAGAATTTGCTGGGTTTGTGGAATAAAAGAACAAAATGATACATTAGCCTGCCATATCAGTAACATATAAAAGAGAAATTATCCCTAAGTCAAGGGCCCCATAAGAATAAAATTTCATATTAATGTCATTAGATGTTACTGAATCCTTTTCAAAGTGCAGTATGAAAACAAAGGGAAAAACACTGAAGCACACGCAACTCTTGCAGTGACATTTTCTGACCCAGGAATGATGCACTGGGTGGGCAACACGATTGTATGTTGTGGAGACACTTCGGAAGTAAATGTGAACAAGGGAGGAGCTGTCCTTGCAAAGTTGAGCCAAGCATTACAGCTACCACCTTTTGAAGAAGGAATAATAAGTTTAATCAGAAAAGATGACTAAAAAATGTAAAATTTGGAAGGACTGCATAAATGCGTGCGTGTCTAAATACAAATTATCGTGTGAAGAAAAGGCCCAACTGTACCAGTAAGCAGACCTTGACTTTTGGATGGGCCCATCATGAATGTGGAGTACTGACTAATTTCTAGTCTTAATGAAAACAGATCAAAGAAGACATTTTATGAGTAGGTTAAAGGTCTGGCTTTGAGGTCTGTTAAACACTAGAAAGGACTGGCTGGGTGAGAGAAAATCTTCTTGTTGATTTTTCACTCTCCTTCTATAAATATTCATCTTTCTGAGTAGCAATGATCACATACAAATGGAAATTGCCAAATTATTTTATAGTACCAAGGTGAAGAAGCAAGAACTAGAAAGTATTGATAATCGCTGTGGAGTTAGGAAAACTGATATAAAGGAAATAATTCTTTGAAATGGCAAAGAATTAAATAGCATCATTCATTCTCAGACGAGTTCAACGTGTGAAGTGCTAGGAGATCATTCTAATTCATTCTTGGACAGTGAAGCAAAACTGATTGAAAATACCAAAATAAGACAGAAAAAGCGACTGGAAAGAGGAGCTTTTCTTTCAGGCATGTTCCAGCTGCACCCTAGGGCTGACCTTCAAATAATCAGGTTGTACTGAAATAAAGGACTTGTTAAAAATTAAAATTATGTCATTAAGATGATAGCTTTTTTCCTCCTCCAACAGTTTATTGTCATGTGTTGTGGGAGAGCTAACTTGAAGAGCAATAAACTCTAGGTCTTATAGGAATGTACAATAAAGGTGGTGCCAGTAGTTTTTTTTCTAAAGAGTCACATGTAGAAAAGCCTCCAATTTTAAGCTCCTAAATTCATTCCTTAAATTAATTAGCCCTCTCTGTCTTCTATAATTTTCTTCTTTTTATTTTTGACACAAAGTCTCACTCTGTCACCCAGGCTGGAGTGCAGAGGCACAATCTCAGCTCACTGCAACCTCTGCCTCCCAGGTTCAAGCAATTCTCCTGCCTCAGCCTGCCAAGCAGCTAGGACGACGGGCACGCACCACCATACCTGGCTAATTTTGTATTTTTAGTAGAGATGGAGTTTCACCTTGTTCTGGTCAAACACTAAGCCCTAAAGGGAAATCCAAAATAAAAACATTTATTTTTAATAAGAACACTTTCTATCTAAATCAGGGTGACTTTAAAAAAAAAAATCCAGAAGCTTCGTGTTGAATTATATTACAGATTTAGTTACCAGTCCTTGTTAGAGTTACTTCCGTTGACATGCTATGGAATGGCCTCACTTCTTTTATGGCAGAATTCATTACTTAAAACACTCTATTTTCTTCTCCCTTACCTATATAACAGAAAGGCTCACTATGTCCCAAATATCATCGGCAGAAGCAAACTCTGAAGTCATAAGCCCTTTGCAGTGCAAGTCTAGAAATAATTTTACTCTGTGTTTCTTTCTCTCTCCCTCTTCCCTCCCTTTCTTCCTCCCTTCCCTCCACTCCCCTCCCTCCCTCCTCTCTCTGGTGTCTCTCTCTCTCTCTCTCTCTCTCTCTCTCTCTCATACATACAAACATCAAATACCAGAAAAGCATAGATTTAGAAAGCTGAACTCCTCTGAAAGGCTGACGGACAGCACTGGCCCCTCTCTGTCCCACAACAAATTCTCACCCATATCACTTTTGCCCTCTGATTCTTCCCACCCAAACCCTAAAACACAGAGTGCACCTCATTTCATTCCTTTGAGAATCTAAAATCATGACTTTTAACTTACACTTCCATCCCACAGCAAAACTCTTGGTATCAAGATAAGTTGTATGTAGCACACTGACATCAGCATGAACAATTGCTACTTTAAATGAACAAATAGTAAACTGAAATAGAGTGTCTGGAAAAAGAAACTGCCTATCAATACCTCTGAAAATAGCAGCTATAGAATTCCTCATTTTAAAAAGTCAAGGAACTTCCATATAAGCAATCATTAATGTTACTCACTATCAGTGGATGAACATGTGCCAGCAAAAATAATGTTATGTATACATCACTCCACATTTTATTAAAGGCAGCACAATAGCCTGCTCATTTTATTGATTCAGAAATAAACTGGACTTCCAATTCTAATGCCAACTCATCTTATGGAATGTCAACATAACACTTTCTCCTGAGTCTAAGTTACTGACTTGTAACTAAACTATCTTTCTTAAAATAGTACTGCAGACTTTCTTTTAAGTAGCTCATTTTTATTTGATGCAATCTAAAAGGCCCAAACTCTGAAAGAAAATAAGAAACTACTGTTGACTATTATTAACAAAGTAATATATCAAATAATTCAGTCAAACTCCTACTTAAGAAACGTGTCATCACCGATAAGATAGTAAAAGCTCTTCTGACATTGCTTTGTTGCGGCAAATTCATTTCATCTTATGGCAGGTTGTATCAATTTCACAGGCATGACACAGGTGGGAAGAAGGAAAAGCATGGCCACAGCAAAAATTCCCAGTGACCACCATGATCTGTCTGAATCCCAGTAGAGGCGAAACATACAAAATTGAATACAGGACAATCACAGCACTTCAACAAGTTTTACCCTGACAAGTATACACTAAAATGTCAGTTTTTATAATGAATCCTCACATTGTAAGATTGCAAAAATTTATAAACAATGGTCCCAGAAATTTTAATGAGCAAAAACTCTTGAATAATTACACTCCAAGTCTCGAAAGTGTCAAGGAAATATAATCCACAAAGAGTGACTCCAAATGTCAAAATCAGTAAAGAATAGTCTCTACAATGCATTCATTGAATTCAAATAATTCAATCAAAAATGTAATTTAACTTAATTACCAACTTTCTTAAAAGCACACCCAGCAAGTCCTTGATTAGGGTTCTTTACATTCTTCTGCTGCATCTTTAGTCTCCTGCTCATCTGCACATAAAAACAATAACCACAGTTATTAGAGATTCACAAATGTATGCATAATTAAGAAAAATAACTCAGCCTGTAAAATATTAAATCCTTTTACACATGAGGCAATATCACACTCTCATTTAATAGTTATAATAGTTATTGAATAGTCACCAAAAGCTGCAGAGAGTTTACAAGAAAAATAGAAAGATCAGGGCGCCTACTCTCATTGAGCTTACAGCTCAGGGAGAACACTACAGGTTTTGGAGCTAAAATGACTATGGATGTGGAGACACACACAGAAGTTAGTATTTTGCTTTCTACTAAGTTTCTGGGAAGTAGAGTGAGACCAAAAGTAAACGTTATATGCAGAATAGATAAGAACTGATCGCCTTTCATTTCTTAAAGTGAGAAAAAAAGAATTGTGACATTAACAGAAACGGAATGGAAATATTTTTCTACCCTTGGTGAGAAGGTTATCAGAAAATGCAGAATTGACAATAGAACTAAATTTTTAAAAGACAAAAAGAAACAGGAGAAACTAGAACCTTCATGCACGACTGGTAGGAATAGAAAATGGTGCAGCAGCTTTAAAAACAGTCTGACAGTTCCTGAGAAGGTTACCAGAGACCTGGCAATTCCACTTCTAGGTATATGCCCAAGAGAAATGAAAGCATACATCCACACAAAAGCTTGTACACAAGTGTTCATATCAACATTGTATGTAATAGCCAAAAAGTGGACACAACCCAAACGTCCATCAGATGATGAATGGATAAGAAAATGTGATATATCCATATAATTGAGACTTATTCAACAATGGAAAAGAGTGGAGTATGGATACATGCTGCAACATGGATGAATCTTGAAGACATTATGCTAAGTGTAAGAAGCCTGTCACAAAAGGCCATATACCATATGACTCCATTTATATGAAATGTTCAGACTACGCAAATTCACAGAATGACTGGTGATTGCCTAGGGCTGGGGTTGGGGAAAAATGGGAAGTGATTACTAATACCTACAATGTTGCATTGTGGGGGGTGAAAAAAATATAAAATTGATAGTGGTGATGGAGGTACAACTCTGTAAATATACTACAAACCATTGAATTGTACACTTTTAATTGGATGAATTGTAGGAAGCTGGTGAACAGTGGCTCCCAAACACTCACATCCTCATCCCTGTAACTTGTGAAAGGGGTCTTTCTAGATGCAATTAAATTAAGCATCTTGAGATAAGAAGATCATCCTGGATTCTCTGGGTGGGCCCTATATTCAATAAGAAGTGTTGTTATACAAAAAAGACAGAGGGAGATTAACACACACAGATGGAGGGAGGCAATGTGAAGAGGGAGGCAGAGACTGGAGTGACGTGGCCACGAAGCCAGGAATGCCCATAGCCAGGAGAAGCTGGAAGAAGCACGTAAGTGTTCTAGCGTTCTCTCCTAGGACCTCCAGGTGGTGTGTGGCCTTGGTGACACTTTGATTTCAAAATTCCAGCCTCCAAAACTGTGACAGAATACATTTCTGTCGTGGTAATTTGTTGTGACAACCATAGGAAACTAATACAAATACATAAATTATATCTCAATAAAGCTGTCATTAAAAGAAGACTCAACCTTGTAATTAAGGGCAGATGACTTACAGTTTCATAGCAAAGTGATAAATGTAGTGATACTGTCAACACAAGGAGAAATATTAAACAGCCGAGGTAGAGGGAGATGGGATGAATGAAAAGTAGATCACAATATCTCATAATAATTCCACACCTTCGTAAGTGCTATTCTCACTATGCAGTATTCTCCTTTTTGCACACCCAGCATATAACCACTCATCCTTGGAGGCTCAGCTTAAACACCACTCCCATCCCTCTGTAGTGTTGCCTATGTACTTTGTTCTAAAGCTCTTACTATGCTTGTCCCATCCTACTGTAATTATCTGTTTTAAGCATCTTTAGGCACTTAAAATTTTTCATCAATAGACCTAGACTGAATAATAAAATTTTCCATCAATAGACCTAGAACAATGGTCCTCAATTGGGGGAAATTCTGCCCCCAAAGAACTTTTTTTGCAATTTCTGGGGAGATTTTTGTTTGTCATAACTGCAGAGGTCACTACTGACATCAAGTGAGTAAAAGCCAGGGATTCCATTAAATACCCTACAGTGCACCAGACAGCCCTTCAAATGTCCCGCTAAAAGTGCTAACAGTGCTGAGGCTGAAAAACTCTTGGAACTTAGAAAAGCATCTAATACACAGTAGAAACTCATGAAGTGTTTGTGGGGTAGATCGATGAATGAATGGATGGTAGATGGATGAAGAATGAATATCATGGGGCCCTGGGGTTTTAAAGCATGGCTGCCCATCAGAATCACCCAGACCCTGTTCTCAGAAACTGACTTAAACGACCGCTGCCAGAACCCACCTCTAGAAATTGATTTAACTCATCTGGGATGGAACCGAGGTGCTAATCTGTTTTAAATCTCACCAGGTGGTTCTAACATGCAGCCAGAGGTAAGAGGCAGCGCCAGCTAAGGAACAGACTCAGTATAGCTTAAATGACAGACCGGCTCCCGGCAGATGCACGTAGAGAGACTGGACAATCAAAAGTATGCAAAGCACAGATAGTTCCATACTGGCGATAAGTGTCTCCAAATAAAATACTAACGAGGAAAGAGTAGAGAACTCAAAGGAGGGCCCCAAGCTTAGGTTGTCCAAAAGAATGACAATATGGATGGTTGGAGAGATCATGAGACAATGTGGATACAGCAGTATCTTCATTAAAAAGAAATTTAAGAAGAAAAAAGCAGAGATTCAGCAGACGGGAAAGAAGATACTTTCTGTACATTATTTTCACCGCCACCATCTATTTTTGATCATCCTAAAGTAGAAGTAAGTAGTAAACCATTTAGTCCAGAGCTTCTCACTCTTTAACATGCACACAAATCACCTGCTGGGGTATTTTAAAATTCAGGCTCTGCTTCAGTAGGTCTGCAGTGGGCCTGGGACTCTACTTTTCTTTTTGTTGTTGTTGCCCAGGCTGGAGTGCAATGGTATGATCTCAGTTCACTGCAACCTCCACCTGGCAAGTTCAAGCGATTCTCCTGCCTCAGCCTCCCGAGTAGCTGGGCTTATAGGCATGCGCCACCACACTCGGCTAATTTTGTATTTTTAGTAGAGACGGGGTTTCTTCATGTTGGTCAGGCTGGTCTCGAACTCCCGGCCTCTGGTGATCTGCCCGTTTGGGCCTCCTAAAGTGCTGGGATAACAGGCGTGAGCCACAGTGCCTGGCTGAGACTCTACATTTCTAACAAGCTTCCAGCTGATGCTGACACCACTAGTCCATAGATCTAGTTTACAGTCACAATAGCGGATCTTCAGTAACTTTTTACTTTACCCAATCTGAATGAAGCGACAGAATCAAAGGTTTCCAATAATTGATAAAGTGATAAGGACATTACAATTAAATATCAAAACTCTCAAGCATGCCTTTGTTCATTTCATACTGCTAAACAAAATGATAAAGAAAATGATCAATAGCAAATATTTATATGAAAAGTCTACCTTAAGAAGAATTAAAGAAAATTAGTTGAAAGTAAATTGAAAATGTAAATTAATCAAATATAAACTTACTATACAGTAAGGTTTTATATTAAAAAATGTATTAACACTAGAAATTTCTAATACGGCATCTCTGATATCTTGGCCAAATAAACTCCAGAAGAGGGTTGGTTTGACCATACAAAGGGAGGTTAAGTCACTAAGGGCATTGAAGAAGCAATGTGTAGCCTTGGAAAAGTAATTTAAGAAATAATAACTATTAGGTTTGAAGGCACACCCTGTTTGAGACAATCGGAAAACTATTAAGGCAATGATGAGTTAAGGACTTCCCTAAGAGCTATCCAAAGTATTTTTAATGGAAAAAAAATCAGCTAATAGGGTCACTGTTTCTAGACTCTCACTGCTCTCCTGCAAACCAGTAAGACTACATTATAATGGAGAAAATTTTCTGAAACGATCTAGTTCCCTTGAAACTGTTCAGGTGGTATGAGTAAGGACATGTACCAACACATACCCCCTTCAAACCACTGCAACACCCTTACCAAAAGTCAATCCGCCGGCAACCAGGCCTCATCTAGCAAGGTACAATCAATAGGCAAAATTGCAACCTCAAATATATTCAGATTATATAGTCGTCATTATTAGTAAAACTTTTTTTTTAATCTGAGGATCCCAATAAGATAACATAATTAGCTATCTTTCATCTAAACTGGAATCTATAGTTCTCAAGTGTTCACAGTACAATCCTGTCACTAGCATTAATTTAGCAGCCTGGACATTCCAACCCAGGAACTCTGATTTCAGCAAGTCTGGATAGGTCCTTGGACACAGCTAGAAAACAAACAAGCAGAAAACTCCCCAGATGATCTTGATACTCACTGTGGTTAGGAATAATGCTCTGTGGTTTGTAACAGTGCTTCTCAAACTTTATTGCCAGGAAGCATCACCAGGGATCTTATTAAAATGAAAATTCTCATGCCTCAGGTTGTGGGTGGGCCCTTAGGGGCCCTGCATTTCTAACAAGCTTCCAGTGGTGGTCGGGCTGCACTACAAGCAGAGGAGACTTACAATATGGAATGGAAACTCAGTGTCTCCAAAGGACCAAGCCCATGAAGTAGAGAGGGCTGGGTGGGGGCTGTGTCCTCTTGGAGAATATACATGCCTTCTAAGGGGAGCATCTGCTACTCAGCTCCCGTGGGTGGCGGTAGAACTTGCTGATTTGTCAGAAATGTCAGAGATCCAGGCTCTTATGGGAAAATCTCATGACAATGTTAAATGCCATGTAAGCCAACCAAGTCCAGTCACAGAGCTAATGATTTTATGTGAATGTTCTCATTTGATCCTCATTACAACCCTCCAGGGTATTAAGCCATCTTATATTATAGATAAGGAAATCAAGGTGTAGAGCAGAGAGAGAGAAATTAAGTAACTTGCCTAAGATCTCCATCTAGCAGCAGAG